CTTTGTTGCAGTTAGTTTGAAAATCATTAATGATTAATGTCAGCAGAAAAGGTTTGTAGCAGGGTCTTGCTTCTTACGCTAAATGATTTTCTGAAACCTACTATATGAGACGGGATTTGACTTGTATTGTGTGCAAAACTTAAATGGTATAGTGTGCTTTTTTTATAATTTGTGTGTGTATAACTCATAAATCTGAGTGTTGTTCCATGCTGCAATGGAGGAATGTTTAGTTCTGGATGATGATAGGGCGCTGACTTTTTCAAGGCTATGTTTCTAGGTACAAATCCAAGCCTGTCGCTGTAAAAATTATAGAGCCAACCAAAGAATCAACTGAATCGAAGGAAAAATTTCAGAGAGAGGTTATACTTCTTGCAAAGGTGAAACATGACAATATTGTGAAGGTATGCTACTTATTTCCTCTTATTTGTTCTTATGCCTGCATTTTTTATAAATATATACTGTTTGTTCATCATTTCTTGGAATTGGAAAGCCTTTTCTCTCTTTTGTAGAGGACTTTAACGACTTGTACCTGCCTGGTTTGAGTTCTATACTATTCTGGTTCCTCATTTCCTCGGTTTGGTTATTAGAAGAAAACATTTATGTAAATTGACCTTTTGTTTCAAGAAACATCTTTCTTCGATTTATATCAAGGTGATGAGATGAAATTGTGACCTGAGGAAATGAACACCTCTGAGATCGCTGTACTTTTGTTCCTAAATTGGTATTCAATGCCCTTTTAGCTTCTGCAAACTGGTTGCCTAAATATTAAAGTAATGATGGTTTGGGATAATCTTTGCTTGGAGTAATACTTGTTCCCTCACAATTCCTTAAATTACTCATAATGTAACCATATATGGAACTTTTGGTACTATACTGACTGTGAGAATAAAGTATCTTTGACAAACAACTCCTGCTATACATCACTGTATGAGATTACAGTTCCTTTTTTGAGAATTTACTAGCACTCTAAGAACTGATAGAGTATTATCTGCACGAAACCTACATATTAAGGAATAGAATCTGCATATTAATAGTGATGATAGTATTATCTGGAACTTTTAGTATAAATTATGGAAAGATATAGTGATGATAGTAATTTGGAAATCTACATATTAAGGAATAAAATCTCTTTTCCTTTTTGGTTTCTGTATCTTTCAGTTTCACCATGCTTCACCTCTAAATGTATCTAGATTCATATCAGTGTCACTTATTCAAGGTTGAACATCTTATGTTCATGATCAATGCCCTTTGCCCATGCGCTCATATAAGTCATTGCTCTGAAACAGTTTATTGGTGCGTGTTTTGAACCATCTCTGATGATACTTACTGAGCTTATGAGAGGTGGTACAGTTCAGAAGCATCTGCGGAACATCAGGCCACAGACCCTAGATCTAAAGCTTTCCATAAGTTTTGCATTGGATATAAGTCGGGCTATGGAATACTTGCATGCCAATGGTATTATCCATCGTGATTTAAAGCCAGGTAATTTTTCTTTTTCCTTTTCTTTTTTCTGGTTGTTCTAGTTATTTTAGTTTATTTTGATGACGGGCAACTGATCAGGCGTTTGGGTTGGCAACATATCCGCTTCTAATTGTAAATGAGGTCCTTAGTAGATCCACAAGAATATTTAATCATTTCTAGTTTTGAACATTTGCCAGAATGCTATTGTTAGAATCATCCTGTTTTCTTTTAGTTTTGCATGCTCGTCTAAGTTCTAATTCTAGAGTATTAGACAATATGGTTGAAACATTGTTTATCGTAGAAATTGAGTTCTAATCTAACAAATAGCCTTCTTTTCTTTCCCAGCCAATCTACTTCTTACAGAAGACATGAAGCAAATTAAGCTGGCTGACTTCGGGAATGCTAGAGAGGAGATAGCCGGTGCAATGACTAGTGAGGCTGGTACATACCGGTGGATGGCTCCTGAGGTGCAGTTTTTTGTGTTACTTGTTCAAATTTTTGTACTGCAAAAAATTTCATAATATGGCTAATTTTTTTCTTTTTATCTGAATTAGTTATTCCACACAGAGCCACTTCCAAGAGGAGTGAAGAAGCAATATGATCACAAGGCAGATGTGTACAGCTTCTCCATAGTTCTGTGGGAGTTGCTGATGAACGAAACTCCATTCAGGGGAAGGGCTAGTATAATGGCAGCATATGCTACAGCGAAAGTAAGTCCTTTGACTGACATTTAAACATAAAATAATATTCCAGAAACCCGAAAACTCTATCTGATAGCTACTGCAAGCTCTTTAGCACTCCTATCTCTATTCTCTTTTAAAACTCAGCCCACTTCATTCCATGGTGTTTGATCTTTTCGAATTGCCTTAGATTTGCTAAGAAACTTGTATGATTGTTTATATTTTGGGAAGTTTGATTTTGCTGCTGATCCGATGAACTGAGTGTAACATGAAAACAATTTTTCGAAAGTTTAATGACTGTTGGTGGACTTTTCTTTTGCCATAGAAACAGATGTTCTATGATTTGCTACATTCTGTGGAAACATTTGGATGAATTTTTTGCTCTTGCTTTGCAGGCAGTACGGCCGAGCCTGGATGACATTCCTGAGCAGATCATCCCACTCTTGGAGTCCTGTTGGGCACATGACCCAAAGACCCGGCCTGAGTTCACGGAAATCACAGATTTTCTTTCCAACTTGTTCAAGGAACTGTGTTCGACTGAGGCTGAACCTCCCAAAGTCGTTGAGACTGAAGTTGAACATCCTGAGAACTGCAATGTGAAGAAAGAAGAATCGGCAATTACCAACCATGTGATTGACAGGCCTGAAGAGAAGAAGAAGGGTAAAAGGCGAAAGAAGAGCAGATCATTAAGCTTCTTGAGGTGCTTTGTATGTAAGTGCTGGTGTGGTTGACAAGTGGCATTGTGGGTTCTGTTTTGGGTTCTTTAGGGCTGAGGGGCTCACTCCACAGGCTAGGATTTGTTTTGGTTATTCACTCACCTTTTGTAGGATACACAGAAGAACTACAGATATAGATAGGTACACACAGCCAGGGTTTCTGAGCTGAACTGTTGTTATGTAACTTGTGTTACAGGCAACTGTACAGAAATTACATTGGTAGGAACCTTAGAATAAAAAAAACAAGAAACAAAAAAAAAAAAAAACCAGATAGAGAGCTAGAGAGGGAGTTGGATACAAAGTGTGTTCCCAGTTGGATTGCTTTACAAATCAAGAGCTTAATCTTTTGTCAATTTTGATCTTTAGCATTTTATTTTTCTTCAAATTCTTCTCGAACCATTGGATTTTGTATTTCATTTTCATAGGTATGCTGGCTTGTCCCTTTAAGACTCTTAGATTTTGGAATATTTTGTTTCGTACAAGTTAATGTGATTAGTCATAATGACTCCCTTTCTGATGCTTGAATTGTCGGTTATGGCAAAATTAGTACAAGTTAAAACAGTAGGCTTTCAGATAAGGATCTTGTTTCCCGTTCTGTGCTGGTTGCTTAGTAGTGCTTATCTTATGCGTTGACTAAGCGACAACATCATTGCTAGTGGTAACTACATCCAAGTTATGTGAATTTGTAAAGAAGGTGAAAAGCTATTTTTGAGTCCAAATTTTTTAATTTTGGATAATTTACTAATGAAAAGTTGTGTAGGGCTCCATATCAAAACTCTTTCGGTTCTAAAAACGCTTCAATTAGATTTTGTAGATTATTGCACGTATACATATACGACAATAAGATACGTAAATGTTTGTATTGATTTGGGGTTTTTGCATGTTACAAAAATTGTAATAAATGTTGGACTCACATAATTAGTGTATATCGAAGATCGAGATACGTGCTATAATTCGAGTGGGATAAATATGTAACAGTAGCGGGTATTTTAATACAAGGAACAAATTTTCAAGAGGAGAAAGTGGGTCGTGAATTTTTTCCCATATTCAACTAAAAACCATAGCATTTTTATTAGGGTGACGTGGCCGTAAATCAAGGAGAGTTGGTAGAAGAAACCGGATAGGAGGGAGGGAGAGAGAGAGAGAGTAGAGATAAACAATAAAGAAATAAAATAAAGTAATAATATTAAATTAAATTAATATGAAAAGGTAGCTGTCAGGATGAGTCATCGTGGCTTCTGCATCGTCATGATCTAATCCAGTGAAACGTGGACAGCTGGACACATCTTCCTCGCACGTGTCTCCCAAGCCAAACCCTAACCCTTTTTGTTCCGGTGGACCACCGCCACACTGGATCACTCCGTACAGCCCCCAACCCACATATCTACTCAGCCCCCCAAAACCCAAAGCCGAAGCCCCATCCCCAAACAACGACAAAACTAAAACTAAAACTACTTAGAGAGAAAAAGCTGAAGCCTTCATCTCTCTCTCTCTCTCTCGCTCTCGCCCACGTAGTTTTGAATTGAAGGTTCTAAATTCGAAAACCCTAGATTCCTAATTTGTTAGCCGTTGATCTTAAATAAAGTGTTGTTCCACCTGGACTTCCACCTCACTCTCCTAAACGCCATGAAAGCAGGTCTCTCTCTCTCTCTCTCTCTCTCTTTTTCCTTATATAATGCAAATCACGCGTCTCATGGCCTGATTTCCCGTAAATTGCCTTTCCTTTCGTTTTGTGTTTGTATTATTCCACGGATTGTGTCAAAATCTGAGCTTTGTTGAATTCTTTGTTGTGTACGCAAGTTAATCTGTTGTGCTTATTGGCTGCTATTCATATACTATCAGCTTTTGCTTCAGCTCTGTGATAATGGTTTGATTGAATTTTGAGCTTGCTATAGGAAAATTAGTTAAATTGAGATAAGGGTAGGTGTAATTTAATCCCCAGTTGATAAATTTGATGGCTTTGAGTGTCAAATCGGTGCCTGAATAGTAAATATTTGACAATTTGAAGGGGATTTTTCAGGCTTTCCCTCTCAACCCTTCTTTGGTTGACCACATTTTTTGTTTTGGTTAATCTTGATTAATTGAACCATCTAATTACTTATCTTAGGGCTGTTAATTTTGTTGTTTTGCAGGTGCTTCATAGATGCCTTCTAAGCCTTCCAAACAAGCTTCTACAGCTCAGGTAGTCCCTCCCTCCCTCCTGCTAAGTCCTCAATTCTTTCCCCTCAAGTTTTTAATCAGTCTCCCATGAATTTACAGGAAATACCAACAACACCTTCATATCCTGATTGGTCCAGCTCTATGCAGGTTCATGATGAAAACACATTCTGGGTCAATATGTGATTTTTTTTAAAGTAAGCAGATAGATAAATTTGATATCTTGATAAATAATTTTAATAGCTCATAGCTTCTTGTTTAGGCTTATTATGGTCCTGGAGCTACTCCACCTCCCTTTTTCGCCTCTACTGTTGCTTCCCCAACTCCACATCCCTATATGTGGGGAGCCCAAGTAAATGTCTTTCCCTTTGTTACATAGGAAAGAAGATTGCATTTTTTTTGGGGGGGGGGGGTTGAAAAAAGGTGGTGTTTATTCTCTTTTTGTGTTTCAGCATCCTATGATGCCGCCATATGGAACTCCAGTTCCGTACCCAGCCATGTATCCTCCGGGTGGTGTTTATGCTCATCCTAGTATGGTCGCGGTATGATGCTATCCCTCTCATATGATTATATCCCCTCGCAAACCAACTCTGACACAAGTCGCTTCTTGCTATTTGCTTTATACACGTCTGTCCATCTTCATTGATAAAAATGGCCTCTTTGATGTTATCTAAGATTTCAACCTCATCAGCTGATTTCTTGCATTCATTTACTCTTTAGACTCCAGCCTCAGCACAGACAAATCCAGAGTTGGAAGGGAAGGGCCCAGATGGGAAAGAGCGGGTTTTAACCAAAAAACCCAAAGGAACTGCAGGAAATACAGGTTTGGTTGGTGGCAAGGCTGGGGAGAGTGGAAAAGCAACTTCAGGTTCAGGAAATGATGGCGCTTCCCAAAGGTGTGCTAATCTTTGCTTTGGATTCCTCCTTTCGACAATTTTTTAGATTTCTCTTTTCTCTTTTTACATTGGCTCCGTGCAAGATTTTTGTATCAGTGTGGTGCCTTCTTGTCTGACTGTAAATTCTTTGGATAATAGTGGTGAAAGTGGTAGCGAGGGTTCATCAGATGGCAGTGAAGATAATGCTAACCAACAGGTGTGTATAAGCATTTTAGCTAATTGCTCCTAGGTGTTGGTTGTTACTTTGCTTGACTAACAAAGTTGCGGGCCCATCTGGAAAATTATTGTTGCCCATTTTTTGCTTGCCCACATCTACACTTAGATATTCTGTGTTGGAATTTATACTTCCGTATTAACCTGTTCGAACAAAATTTCTTCTGGTATGATGTATTCTTTTTCTTCTAATGAAAACATGGTTGATTTCTCTCTAGGAGTATGGTGCAAACAAGAGGGGAAGCTTTGACAAGATGCTTGCAGATGGTATATTAATCGTGTTCAACTTCCTGCTTGTGTTATATTTGTAAAATGGTTTGCTCATAATTAATTTTCCAGGAGCAAATGCACAGAATACTGGGGCAAATGTTCAAGCTTCAGTGCCTGGGAAGCCTGTCTCTATGCCTGCTACTAATCTGAATATTGGAATGGACTTATGGAATGCAACCCCTGCAGGTTCTGGAGGAGCAAAAATGAGAGCAAATCCATCAGGTGCTCCATCAGCTGCGGGTGCTGACCACTGGATTCAAGTACAAATCTTTCTGTTATCTTCTAAATTGTTATTTTGTAATCACTATCCATGCAAAAATTTACACGCACACATGATCATATATGTGTATATAATAGAGAGAGAGAGAGAGAGAGAGAGAGAGAGAGAGAGAGAGAGAGAGAGAGAGAGAGATGTTGTGTCTTTTTTTTTTGCAGACATATAGAGACACATATATATATTACACATTAAGAGAGAGATGTTGTCAATTTATTTTTCGGACCAATATGGAAGCACATTTAAAGATTCCACTTAATTAATGCTAGATTAACAACCATGTAAATTAACATGCCAAATTGTGTGCCAAAAGGAAATTTGCCTAGTCATGGTGGAGACGTTATGAATATCTTTCTTAAAAGACTGGCATTATAATAAGTTCTAGTAAGGTTTTAATTTGTTTTTCATGATTTTGACAGGACGAACGTGAACTGAAAAGACAGAAAAGAAAGCAATCAAATAGGGAGTCAGCTAGGAGGTCAAGATTACGGAAGCAGGTACAGATGTTCTTATATACACTATTTGGCAGCAATTTCCCTGTTCTATCTCGCTTTTTATTTATTTATTTAAATTTCAATAAAAAGGTCAGTACCCAATTTGGTCACAAATGAAGGGCAATGGGAGGAAAATCTGCATTTAAGGAAGAAAAAAAAGTAATATTTGTCCCTCATTAACTAGTGGAAGTTTTAATAAGCATCGTGTGCTACATGATGATCAATTTTAAAGGACCAATCAAACAGTAGAGCTATGTGCTAACACTTGAACAAATATAATATATATTGATATCATACATATATATGCATAACTCCCTCTTCCATTTCTTATGTTGACCAGGCGGAGTGTGAAGAGCTACAAGCAAGGGTGGAGACATTGAGCAATGAGAATCACAACCTTAGAGATGAACTGCACAGGCTCTCAGAAGAATGCGAGAAACTCACATCTGAGAATACTAATATAAAGGTTTACTTCAATACAATTGCATTTTCTTCTTCTTATTTTACTTCTATGCCAAATGTCAAATCCATGTTCACATAAACTCAAATGGGGAGAGGATCCTTGCCGGTTCAAGTTGTAGCTTGATGGGTTAAAAGCAATCAAAGTTGCCTGAATGTTTCACTAATCTGGTCCACTAGTGCAGTCCATTTTTTGATGCGTATCATTTTTTCTGCTATACAGGAAGAGTTGACACGAGTGTGCGGACCAGATTTCGTAGCAAACCTTGAGCAGCAGCCTGGCGGTGGTGAGGGCAACAGTTGAGAAGGAATTAATTTCTCTCTTTGTAGTAACAGAAATTAATTGAGCTCCGGAAGCCATGACCCTCACTCGAATTGAGCGTAGAGCATTTGTTTCCCTTACTAATTTATACACTTAACCCTTATCTGTAGCTGTGACGTTTATTTATCAACTTTCAACTGAGTTGGATCCTCGGAGCCATGCAAATTGTTGTACCATTGGAAAAGAGTATATAATAGATTGCTTCCATTGACTAGTTATCTTTTTGAACCGATTTGTACTTCCTCATTCTTCCTCCCCGTTACTGTTGTTTCTGTGCTCGCTCAAAATGATGCTGCGGACGGTGTGGAGGAGTTTGGTTATAGAAACAGCAAACTTTTTGTATCTTTGTTTCGAAGAGGCAGAGGCTGAGAAAGAAATGATGCAATTCACCTTGCTTTTTACTTTCATAGATTCATTAATTCCACATCAAATGTGAGAGTTGGGAAAATAGGTGGTGGTTCCCTTTCTCTTACAACTAGAATGGCATCAGTTAGAAAAGGCAGTGCTTGTTTAAAGAACTTCCAACGAGACGGCTTCTGATATGTTTAGGAAAAAAAAGGTAGGAAAGGAAAAGACAAGGACAAAACGTGAAACCGAATGTGGTAAAGATAAACATGAGCAATATTTCCATCTGCTAAAGTACAGTTAAAGTTGACATCATATTTACCAAATTGTGAGATAACATGCCAAGAGTAAAGCTACCCAAAAATGATTTTCTTCATTGCATACTACCTCAGATCTTCACTAATTACAGCACAAATAAAAATTACACAATTACGTTATGAAAGGGAAGGCACTTTTCTTTCTTTTCTCCTTTTGCACCTGGAACAGAAAGGATTTCAAAACTACACATATTACCAACAGGAAAAAACACTAATCATTCTCTTTTTAATAATATCACTAATCCTCATGATCAGACTCCGAAACTGGGGCTATTCTTGCCTGGCCTTCTATTGCGTTCTGTCGTGGTACGTCTGAATTAGGCCTCGGGTCTGTTAATAGGAGGGAGGGCAATGAACTGTAGTCAGAAAGACTGGACCAGCAAATATAACAAACAAGCTCTAACTACTAGCCTGTTAAACTAATGATATCCATCACATTATATACGATCCCTTTGTAGGGGAGAAACTGTAGGTGTTTGACTTTGAGTGTATGTGGTGGGGGTACCAATGTCATTCTCACCTGAACCCAAAATTTTCATCACCACAGCCCTAGCATACTCAATCTCCTCTTGGTGTGCACTAATGAGTTTGTGCTGCAATATAGAAACCAGATAGCTCTATGAATGTACATTGTAGTATTTTACCTACAATGTAAAAACAGAAACAAGCACTTGCACAGACAGTTGATTTTGACCATGACCAACAAATTTCAAGGGTACTGCTTACCAAAGTAATATTCACATAAACTCATATTGCTCAAGAGACAGAAAGCATACCAATTCTCCATATGTGAGTCCCAGAACTCGATCAACCCTAGTTTGATGCTTCAAAAAGAATGGACGTAGATGATTCGTGTACAACTGCTTTGCTCCCTGGTAGAATCAGGCAGTTATTTACTAATTTTTATAGAAGAAAGCAGGTAGTTAATTACAACACAATTTTCCCATGTGTCCGTATCTCATAAAGTTATGCATATAAACAGAGTGTGCTAAGAAATGCTACAAAGCATTATGAACACAGCTAAAAATGCAACCATAGAAAAAAAACACCCAAATGAATATGCATTTATTTTCTTCGAAGTGCCTGTTATCATCCTCATTAACAAGTGATGTTCAACAGAATTGGATGACAATCATGATGCTGTCTTACTGCCTGACAGCCGAGACTAGCTGCTTATCACTTGACATCACAACTAAAAGATATAAACTCTAAAGCTAAATCAACTAGTCTAAACTACATTTCACTCCTCATAATCTCATTGCACCAACCCCCTTCTGTGGCCCCAAAAAAGAACATAAACATGAAGTCCCTTCCAAAATGCCTTTCAAAAAAGAAATTTCAACCTAATTCAAAAGAAATATGCTTTAATATTATCTGCAATGAGCTTCACTTTATAATTATATATATATGCACAGTAACTATGTAATATGGTTTTGTTAATAAACCCAGGAGAAGAGTCCAAGTGATGAGGTAGGTGGGGAAAAGGGTTAAGATTAGAATAGGTCATGGGTCAAATCTCATCCCAATCGGGCAAAGAAAAAATATCATTCAAGACAGAAAGATGAAAAAATGGTGAAATTACTCAATTTATCCAAACATTCCCAGGATGTTTCCCGAATTACAAATGAGTTTGAATATACAAGGATAATTGAAATGACATACTGGAAGTTAATGCAAGAGAGGGTGAGAGAAAATAGATAATTAGAACCAACTCAACTTTGTGACTGCCTTTGTCATTTTCATTATGTACTGACACAAACACTCCAAAGAGAAGAATAGCATTGAACTTACATCGACAGATGGAAGTTGGAGCCAAACAAGAAAGGCAAACTTCAAATGATAGTACATTGGGCACCTGGTTACAACAACAATAAAGATGAGGTTGTCTATCAAGCTCAGGGAAATGCATGCTTAAATTAGTAGTGATATCTTTTCTTATAATGTTGTTAAGATA